CACACATTATAAGCTATCTTCCTGTGTATCATCACCAATACCATACTCAATTTTTACCCTATGCTGCAAGTAAAAGTAGAATGTATTTCACTGACAGAATTATTTTTATTTATATAAACATATAATAAAAAAAAATTTGTTTTTAAATATAGATAGATAAAACACACAATTTGAGTGGACTGCTTATTCTTTTTGTGAAGAGTGCTAAACTGATACATTTTCAATTCTGAAACAAGTTTCTTTCAAGATTCACTTAAGCCAAACCGTGATCCCGTTCTATTACTGAAAGGTTCCCGCTTACTCTGTCCTTGGGCTGCATCTAACAATTATCAAATCTGCAGGGGCTTGTGGATCCATCTGAAAACTAATTTTTGGGGGAAAAAAAAACAACCTCAAAACACCCAACAAAATAAAAAGCACCACCACAATAACCCACGCACCCTATATTGGTTCGAAGATCCAACTGGAAACTATCTTACCCATTCTGCAACCACAGGCTAGAACCAATACAGCCAAGAGCTTGGGAGAAAATTTGCTCGAGGCAAGATCTTAATTTAGCCCCAAACCAATCATGACCTAGAGGCTATTACATGCCTAACAGCAGACCCAATTCTCATTCACAAACTGCTCCTGCCAGAGCAGCACAAATGAATTTTCAAGTGGATGCAAATGGAGCAGGTATGTTTACAACGTACTCTTGGCATGGATCCCCAATTGGAGTAAACTGCTGTTGACTTCAAAGGAACTACAGATCTACCCTTTGGAAGTATTTTTGCAGACTCTTACTTTAGGCGATGAAAAAAGGAAGGCTCCTAAGCAGTTTAAAACATACAGTGATTAATTTTTTTCTTTCAAAACATCACAGACTATGTGTGGGATGCTGAAATGAATTTGGGGCTTACATATACTCAAAGGATTTATTGAGAGTGATTGAAATAATTATGAAAAACAGAAGATACAAATATAAATAAAGATGAAATTGAATATAAAATAAAAATACATTTTTGTGACTTTTTTTCAGAATAATCTAGTTTATTTTTATTATTTGTCCCCATTTATGGGATAAATTCTTCAATGTCTTTCAAGAGATACTAATTTCAAAGATATTTTTGCTAGGAGAAAAATAAACGCGGTAATTCCTCTGCTCTTAGACAAAACTAGAAGTTGCATTGCTATACGTTATTCTTTTACACATAAAAATCCCTTTATGTGAAAATGTGAGTAAGGAGATCACAGAACTGCAAGCTTTCACACCGTCTATCTCACAGCTCATACACCACTATCACTTAACACTTATCTGTTTCTCTATCCCAGTTGCTGCACTACAGCGCTCATAAGACCAACTTTGAGTTTGCTTTATAATCTCTTGTTTTTCTACTGAGTCACTTGCACTTGTTCCACCACAGGTTTCACCTTTAAAGGACATTTTCCACTTTTCTTTCTCACGTACAGATTTCCCTCAAAAAGTAATGTATGCACAAAAGGAAGGAGCTGGATTGGCACAGGCCAATCCCACAGCCACTTTTCCCAGAAAACTGGGACAGGGAATCCCAGACCACTTTGGACTACAGTTTTCACTTGGAGGCAGATCCCTCCATGGACAGGTTAGCTCTCAGCACAAGCAGGTCAACTGGAAAAGCAGACGAGGAAAGAAAAGACTCCCAGTGTAACTCCTGACTCCTTAATCTTTCATCCATGAAGTACCATAGAGTATTTTGTGTTATCACAATATTTTCCAGTAGCAGGTACGTACAAGAGTCACATATTATGAGCCATCACTAACACTCACATGTGCAAAGAACTGGCATTTGATTATTTACAGAGTCGCAATAAGACTTATTTTAAGTCACATTATTCCTTATTTTAAGATAAGTAATCCTCATAGCTTTCCTTCTTCACATAAAGAAGTGTTGTAGTCGCTACAGAGATATTACAAGACTTTATTGGAAAGAGACAGGCTTCTATTAAAATAATCTGTTTATGAAAAGGTTTGAAAAATCCTCTTAGAGAACAGCGTCAGAAGAAAAAATTTAAAGTTTTGGGGCTGGGGTAAGCTGAGGTTTGACCTGGCCTGAAAAACAGGACTAGCAAACTCTTATAAACTGATATTACCATCATGCAAACTGAATTAGAAGATTCATGCCTCTAATGAAATAAATTAACTGTAAGTGATAAGGTAGAAGGTAGTTAGTCTAGAAATAGACACCACCACCACTTTGTTTTTATTCTGTAGGAGAGAAAAGTAGCAGTAAAAAGATGCATTTTGTCTAAACACACTAGTTAGTTCCTGGCTCTCTACTTACATCAAAACAGATTTAAACAGAAGCAGACATGCACCTAGCTGTCCAGGGTGTGCTAATTCTGCACACCTACAAATGGAGAACACAAATGATGTTCACATCCTAACAATATTCACATCCAAAAGTATTAGAATACCGAAAATTAGAGGGAAATTATGAGTAAAAATCTGGGATCATAATTTTGACTGTTAGGTCTGGTTTATGTCCTCAGGTATGATTTGTTGGTGTTATTTACTACAGGCATTTCTGAATTCTCATTAAGCCTCTGCCATACCCTTTCACCAGATGATGACAAGAACGCAACATCTTTAATTCAATTTCTATATTTGCAAAATGAAGATGACATATCTCTAGGGTTAAAAGACTTCATAAGATGCTTTCAAGAGTACAACCTTTTTCTACTCTCATCTTCATCATGAAGGAATCTCAAGTTAGACTGCGACTGATCCATGCAAGCCATAATTAGGCCTACATTGATTTCTTTCAAGACACCACTGAAAACTATAAAATAAGAGCACAGTAGCTTACATCTTATTTATTTTGCTTTTACAACTTAAGTATTTTTCCAGGTCAACAACTTCTCAAACTTTAACACACTGAGAAATTGGAAAAAGGATTACTGATGTGGCTCAAGCTTCCACAAGAAAATAAGTGAAGCTGTTATTATATACTAGCTCTTCCATGAGAAACAGTTATTCTGCATGTTTCCATGCTATCCCACCTCAATACACTATACAGGGAGATAATAAGAACATAGGGGAAAAAAGTTCAATTGAAAGTCTGTTCTTCTGTCCCAATGGTGAGGCTCTTTAAGCAAATAATGTATTTCAGTAAAACATCTACCTTACATACTAACTTTGCAAATTCCATTCCTTTGGAGCCTACCAGGCACGTAAGAATAGAGCTGGGAGAAGGATTTTGTGGAATGGTCCTGACAGATGGTGTAGAGCAGAGATTCCCAGACCAGGCAGAGCATGCAACAGACAGAAAGTACTTTCATTTCAAGGAGCATTTTGAAAAATGTGATGTAAAAAGTACCCCATGCACAGCAACTCAGACCTGAAAAGGTAGAAGACCTTCTACCAATTGAACAATGGAGTTTTAGAGTTTCAAAGCCAGAAATAGTGTTTTTGTGCACACTTACACAAAAGAGCCCAGGCTAATTGAAGGTACAAAGGAGCAACAGCTTATTACCATTACTTTTACAAGTTTCACACCAGGTTAAACTGATCTTATTCACATCAGCTGCTCTCAGACTTTCATTTAGTTCATTAAAATATCTTGTTTGGTCAGTTCTACCACTATAATTTATTTTAAACATAGTGAAACCTTAACTAAAGAGGCAACCTGACATTAAGCAGCCACTTAAAAGCCTTTCCAGATTACCACTCCACTCTTTGCGGTGAGGGTTTGGGCACAGTAAAGTTCTGAGCCAGATTCCACTTTCCCTTCATTTCTCAGATCACTTCAATGCGAACTCCAAATTCAGGCAGCACCACCACAGACATGTTACCGTCAGTGAAACCAGCCAAAACATGTCCTCTAGTTTGAGGTGGTCTTTTCAGCCAAGGTTGGGAAAAGGCCCAAAACTGTGATCACTGTTCTGGTTTTTAAACCCCACTTCAAAGTTAAAAGGCTGATTTTCCTCTCTTGCTGCTTAAGGCAAATTTAACTGGATATGCACATGGCGTAAGTGCCAAACCCATTTAGAGTTGGAGGAACTTGCAAAACATACAGGGGCAGATTCTGTTGTTCTTACTCACTTTAAACAGCTCCAGCTAAACTAATCAGACTTCTCAACACAATTAAGAAAAGTAGGAACCAATCCAAAAAGAATATGCACACTTCATAGTTGGAAAACATACTCTGCACTGAGTACAGAGGTAATCTGGGGAGGCTTTCAAGTGGTCATTTAATGGACAGCAGACATGAAAAAGCAGTAGGACAATCTTATTTTGGGACTGTTTTTAAACAGCAGCCACATGCTAGACTAAATTTCATTATTTATCCAAAACGTTTGTTAGTTGGGGGACGAATCTCAAAGTCAAGCTGTACTGTAGAATCAAACTTTAAGTATTAACCTGATGGAAAATAGCACACTTTGATAATTAGGCTGATGCAAAATACAGGTAGCATTCACCAGCTATGTTTCTCACAGGCAGGAACTTCGGCAAGAGAGAGCGCAAGGTTCATCCAGAGAAGATTTATGTCACTTTGTCCTTTATATCAATATGTATTTATAAATAAACTGAGAAGTGCAGATTAACGATCTTCTTAAAACATCCGGTAAAAACACCATTTGAAGCAAGAGCCCGAAGGGGGAAGGAGGAAAGGTGGTGGTGTGGGTTTGTTGGTTTTTTTTTTTTCGGAAGCGAGCCACAAGCCAGTGACTCCAAACTCTCCCCGCGGGAGGAGCGGGGCAGGTGCCTGAGGGCCCTGCCCGGGGCTCAGCCCCCCAACCCACCGCCGGGGGAGAGCTCCGGCCCCCAGCCCGAGGGCTTGGCCGCCCCGCCCGGACCCCCTGCCCGGCAGCCTCTCCTCCCTCCCTCCCTCTCCTCCTCCATCACTTCCTCTCTCCCCCCGCTCGCCGGCCCCTTCTCCCCTCACCTCAGACCCTTTTCCTCGGTACCTCCCCAGCCCGCCCCGCCTCGCCTCTCTGGCTTCTCCTCCCCCCCCATCGCCTCGCCCCGCGGCTCTCACCCTCCCGGGCTTTCAGCAGCACCGTGTTGGCCACGATGTTCTCGATTTCCATGGTCGGGGGCTCCTTCCCCTCAGGGCAGCCGGAGTGGAGGCCGCCCCTACTGCCTCCTTCGCCCCCTCCTCCAGCCCCGCCGCCACCGCCGCGACGCCGAGCCTCCGCTCATCCGGCCCCGCAGGACCTCAGCGCTGCGCTCGCCTCTTCCCCATCACCCGCTGCTCGCCCCGGCACCGGCCTCCCCCTCCCCGAGGGCGGAGGCAAGGAGCAGGCAGCAACCGCCCGCCCCGACCATGGCTCTACCGCCCGCCTCCGCCCGCCTCAGCCAGCTCCGCCTCTGCGCTCTCGTCCCGCCTCCCCCTCCCAGTTCCCCTTAGGACTACAACTCCCAGCAGCTCTTGCTCCGCAGCGCTCGCTTCTCCGCCGGGCCCGCCGCGCTCTGCCTGCCGGGATACGTAGTGCGTTCGGCCTCTCCCGGCCTCCCTCCCGGCTCATCCCAAAGCGGGAGGGGAGGAGAGCGGCAAATCTCGCGAGAGCTGGGAGAAGCTCTCGCGAGAGGTGCGAGGCTGCCGGTGCGCGTGTGGTACCGCCGGGACACGCCGGCTTGAGGGGACGCCGCTATCGCCCCGCTCCCTCCTCCGCCCCGCTCCGCGCCCCTGGCCGCCTCCCGCGGGGTGTGTGGGCAGCGCCGGAGGGCCGTGGTCAGGCCTGAGGGGTACTGTGGGGGGGGTTGCCCCCGCCCCAGGGCGCCATTTTCTTCGGCCTGTTTGCACCTCCATCCCAGCCCCCTCCGTCCCTCTGCGCGGAGTGAGTACCGAGCCTCTGCTTCCCCTCAGGCATCCACGCAGGCAGCCGAACCAAAAATGGGGAAGGCAGCTAAGCGGAAGCGAAAGGCCCCGGCACCCTCCGCAGCCAAGGGCCCTGTCAAGTCAGCTATGGCCATGGTCAAGAGCAACCCCTTTGAGGTGAAGATCAACAGGCAGAAGTTTGACATCCTAGGGAGGAAGACCAAGAATGATGTGGGGCTGCCTGGTGTCTCACGGTCCAAGGCCATCAAGAAGGTAAGAAGATATCAAAAATTGGGAGGAAGGATGGCACCTATAGATGTAATTGTGGTGGAGAGGCGATAAGCCTGGAGCCATCCCGGGGTGGTAAGAGACTGCCTCCATCGTGCACAGGAGGAGTAGCTGGTCACCTCGCCCTGCTCAGATGATGATGAAGAGCCTGCTGGAAATGTCTGCTTCCAGTGCAATCCCCAGGGTTCAGCAGTGCGAGTCTCCCTTATCACATGTGTGGGAATATTCTCTTTTCAGATTACGCAGGTCTGGAATACAATGGCATGTGTTGTTGGCAAGCAAATGCTGGACCAGAGTGCAGGTGGTTGTAAGTGGTCATCATGTTGGTCAGTTTTGGTTGCTGTGGGATGTTAAGCTTGATAATGGTGCAACTTTGTTGTAATAGTGAAAGCTGGAGAGGGCATTAAGGTCAGAATGCAGTGAGAAATGTGTAGATACAAAGAAACTACCATTGATTTGGAAGACATGCAGATGACTTTTCTTGCAGTGGTTAAATAGTTGCATTTATAGAAGTATGTTGGGATGCTAAATAATGAACTGTCCTCATTGCTCTCTTAAGAATGACCATTAAACTTAAAAAGAGTAAATATTTTATCTTCCATCCTTAGGCTTTTTTAAATGCCCCTTTTTTGTTCTCTACTGACATCACTAGTTACCTGACCAATATATGTAATGTATAAGGGAAAGCATTATGTCATACTATTCGTCTGGGATTCCAGCAACCTACCCGATCCCTGAGTGAAGGACTGGAATTTTTTTATGGTCTATCCCTTCAAACAAACCAGGAAAGAGTTTAAAACCTTTGTAGAGTATGTTAAAGTCTTTTAAAAAAAGCATAATTTGAAAGTTTGCCCCAAGATTCTCTCTGACGTTGCATACAATCTGTTGTAGAACAGAATTTAAAGCACTTACTGAAAAGAGAAGTTCATTTTAAAAATTGTACAGCAAAAAGCAATTTTATCAATGAGAGAGAATATCAAATAATTGATAAACAAAAGTGCTTTTCTGTATCTAAGGTATTAAGAGATAATAAAGTTCATGCACAGTGTTTAAGCTGTATGATAATTGATGTATTCTGTGGAAGAAGTAAATAAAAGGTAGAATGGGCACAGTAGTAGATGAGTTCTGGTGTCAGTTACTGTGGCTTCTGAGTCGAGAATGCTCAGTGAGGCTGCAGAGGCCTGTTGTAGGAAACAGCCTTTTCCTTCAGTGCTGCAGTTTGTGAGTTCATGGTATTATGAATAGCAACAGTACCTTTCCGTAAGATTCTCTTAATGTGTTTAAATAAACATGGAATTTTTTTTCCAGTTTTTCCTTTAGAAACTGTATATCATCTTCAGCGTAAAATTCTAAATTAGCTTTCAGGCTTCATTACTATTTGCCCAGATTTTAGAAAACTTCATGACTGCTTAATAGCACATTTTAAAGTATTTGGGTTTTATATAATAGTAAGGTAAAGCAAATGCTTGTCATCACTGGCATTGAAAAGTAAATCTGTCTCCTTCCCTGTGCCATAAGTACAGCACATGCTACCATATAGCTCTGCTAAACCTCCTTTGCTGCTTTGATGTGAAATCTCCACGCGCTCAACACAAAAGCAGAGCTAAATGTATGTACCCAATTGGGGTTTTTAATGTCTTAGGTGATAAGCCCAAAAGAGGTTCAGCTGACACTGGGGCTTTTTTTGCTTTCTTTAATATGTTATTCTTGCATACTAAGCTTCAGACAAATCACAATTCTTCCGTGGCAATACAGAGTTTTTATATGTGATAAAATAAAACTGAGCTTTTAAGAGAACTTAATGACTCTGCATATATTGTGTGAGCTTCCCATCTCTTTTCTCGTTAATTTTTACTTCTCTTTCATTGCATTCTGATAAATTAGATTATGTTGCCACGATACCATGTAGCCTTTTTTGCCTTGGCTTCCAAAGTAGTTACTCTCTTTGTTTTTTAATTTGATCTCCCCTTTTTTTTTTTCCTTTCCAGCGTACCCAAACATTACTGAAAGAATACAAAGAAAGGGAAAAGACAAATGTGTTTAAAGATAGGCGTTTTGGTGAATATAACACCAAAATAAGTCCAGAGGAAAAGATGATCAGACGATTCGCTTTGGAAAGACAGGTAAAGTATAGGTATTTAAAAAAAAAACAACTACACACCACCAACAACAAAACACAGACACACAAAAAAAAGCCCACTACAAACATTTGACTTTTTAGGTTGGGAGTGGCCTCCTTAACAGAGGGTTTGCAGGGTAATACTTTCTTTTTGATTTTATATGTTTGGCACTTCTATAAAAAAGCAATTTTTTGTGGCAGTCCAAAATTTTTCATGAGAACTTTCTGGTTTTGCAAGACAGTTTTTGAAGCAGAAATTTCTTTGAGCACTTTTCAGCACTGATATGCAAAAATGCCAGTTTTAAGCAGTTTCATTGATTGGTTGCTTTTCTTTGACTGCTTTGACTACTATGGTTTGGGAATTGAATTAGAAGGCGGCAACCACCATCAGGTACACTTTGAGATTCCAATACAGCTGTTGAACAGCAGCCATTTTGTCTGCTGTCTAGAACAACTCTGTAACTTACTGTCATTCTGTAATGTGAATTTTAGAATATTATGTGCAGTGATGCTCCTTCTGCTTCATCATACTCAGTCTCCAGAACTGAGTAGTGCAATATCATATTCTACTGATCATCTACTGTGTAGGTTACAGTCAGTTTCATTAGGCTCAAAATGCAACAACTCAGAATTGAGGTTACTGATTTACAGCAATAGTAAAATGTATACTGATATAGTAATGTATTTGAATGAAAGGATTGGTTTGGTAGTATTCTTAAAAACAGCAGAACACTGGAATAAGAATCTCCTCAACTAGCTTTAAAAATACAGCGTTTATTAATTTGTTGCCTGGGAACTACAAACCTTTTGTTGTTTCATTGGTTTGTTTTACTATTCTTAGCAAAATTATGGAAAGAAGAATATCTATAATCTTAATGAAGATGAAGAATTGACTCATTATGGCCAATCTTTGGCAGAAATTGAAAAACTAAATGATATTGTTGATAGTGACAGTGACACAGAAGAAAGAGGAACGTTGTCAGGTAAGACATGTCAGCTAGTGTCCCACTGCTTAATAGTCTTATTCACTGCTAATTTGATTGTTGGTACATGTACATAGTTTGTTCCATGCTGTGTTTCAATGAGAAAGAATATTATATAATTGGTTGGGATGCTTAAGCCAGATTTAATTACTTTGTAACCACATGTAGAACAACTCTCTGGATTCTAGCAGATGTGAAATTGGAACCTAAATACTAGTTACAGTGCTGAAAAAATTCACATTCCTACCTCCTACAAAATGTTTGTCAGTGTGTTGGGTGTCTCTTTTGGTATGGTCTTTTCCATAGGGATGGCAATAGTACATAATTGATTCAATAGTTTTAATTGCTCCCGTTCTCAAAGAATAGGGAGAGATTGTCCCAGCAGCATCAGCAATCATGTGTGGATTTAAAAAGGATTCACAATCTACTTTTTCTTCTAGCTGAGTTAACTGCTGCTCACTTTGGAGGGGGTGGAGGCCTCCTCCGTAAAAAAGCATCAAGTGGGCAGCAAGATGAAGAGGAGGAAAAACCTAAATCTCGGAAGGAACTCATAGAAGAGATGATTGCCAAATCTAAACAAGAAAAGGTGAGTTCTTAGACCTGACATATAAATGAGCATGATAAAGAAGCTGTCGCAATTTCTGTCTTTGCAGAATAAAATAGCAGTGGCAGAGAAAACAAAGGAGATGGTTGTCTAGGAGAAGAGTCCAAGCTCCTTGAATGAAGTCCCACTGAATTTGTAGACATTTTAGGATATGCACTGAATATCTGCCATTCTTTCATACCCCCAAATCTTCCCTTCTGTTGACTCCTAACTTGTTTTCTGTATGCAGCCCTTGTGCCATTCAGTGTAACTCTATACTGCTTCTTCCACAAAGAATTTTTACACCTTTAAAATATTAAATATTTTAAATTATTTGTTTGCTAAAGACATCATTTTGGTTTTATGCCGCAAATGCCGTGTTGTGTTCATCTGGATGTAACTGCTGCATTTGTTTTGTTTTGTTTTTATCTAGCAAGAGAGGCAAAGTCGGAGGGAAAGTGCATTAGAACTCACAGAAAAACTTGACAATGACTGGAAGGAAATCCAAACGCTTATGGCCCGCAAAACCC